TTGAAAGTCGATGAACTCAATGATGAAAAGGCGGAAGCGTTGTACCAACAGCTCATTGAGGTCTTCATTAATATTAGAATTTTATATGTTTTATACAATTTATGAAAATAAGTCTTTCAAAACATTTCAGTTCAATTCAAACGACGAGGAAAATGTGCAGCGCTTGCGAAGACTCTTCGATGTCTGTAAGTCTGTTATGCAAATCAAATCACTTCAGGCAGAAGTGGCCGTCGAAGAGCTCGAGGAGACGATTAAAAATTATAACAAATCTGAAGCATCGAAAAAAGATATGTATAAAGAATCTGACGGTAGAGCAGACAATATTGGCTTTAATCAGACAAATAACCAAATCATTGAACTCAAGAATACAATTGAAGCCAAGGATAGCGAAAATATAAAATTAAAGCGGAAATTAAATGATTTGCAAAATAGTTTAGATTTAAGAGATAAGGAAGTGATTGCTTTGCGATCGGAAGTCGAGTCCTTAAGAGAAGAAATTGATAATCAAAGACAATCGGACGACCGGTTTGTCGAAAGGGAAGAGCCGTTAGAAAAGTTAAGGGAAAAGAATAAACAAATTCAGACTCTTTTGGATGAGTTGAGAGAAGTGGAGACCATTAACCTCGAGTTTGCTAATCAGATCAAGAAACTCAAGTTAGAGCTGAACAGTGCCACAAATGAATTGCAGATCAGTTGCAATCAAATGGAAATGCTTTCCAAACAAATCAATGAATTAAAGCAATTGAACGAAGATTTTCTTCTTGAGAAACAATACTTAACCGAAGAAATGAGTCAATTAAAAGAGTCTCTGAATGGATATGAGGGCGGAAATGACAATATTATTGATAAATACGGCGAAAGCATAAAAGATTTGCAAAAATTGCTTGCAAACAAAGACGAAGAGATTATTAAATTAAAGTCTTCGAGTCTAATACCAGACGAGGCTATCCGAGAGAAGGAGAGAAAGATGAGTAAAGTTTTGGAAGAAAAGGACAAACAATTAGAGTTACTGAAGACACAACTCAATGAAGCGGTCGTCGATATGGAGAGTCAGACAGAAATTATACGAAAACTCTTCCAACAAAATAAAGGAGACGAAGAGGTTTCTAAACTGAACCAAAAGATCTCGTCTCTCA